GAGATGGGTTTTAATGCTATTCAGTCTTTGTCTATGGGATCTTACAGCATGTAATTCTTGATGAGAATTGTGTAATATGAGTAATGGACTCCTGTGCTCTGAAAATCTTTTTTATGGGGTTATTAATAAAATGCAATCCCACAGTAACACTGCTTTTCACTGCAAAAATGTGCAATACAACAGCTGAAGCAAATCCAGCTTTAATACAAGCCTATGAATAGTATGATATAGGCTGCATAAATTCTTACCAAAGATGTGCATAGATTAATTGTAAATGCTAGGCAAGATGTACTATTTTTCTTTTGTGTATGTGTTCAACCCTTTGTGCAGCTAAAATCAGTCCAGTTCCAGGCATATGATAGCCAGGAATATTGCAAGTGAATAGAACAAGCACATTTTTGACCAAGACTAGTTAGTATAGGAGCAGTTACTGGTGAGATTTTTGTACTGGTCAACAAGTTTACACTTTTCTCTATCACTTGAGGTTCTTCTGTTGATCTGGTATTTACAGTAGCGCTATAATCTTGCTCTACAGCTAAAGTTTGAAATGAAATGTAAAACAATGCAGGAAAGCATAATGCTTATGAGGAGTGGCTGAGGGAACGGGGGTTGTTTAGTCTGGAGAAGAGGAGGCTGAGGGGAGACCTTATCGCGCTCTACAACTACCTGAAAGGAGGTTGTAGCGAGGTGGGGGTTGGTATCTTCCTCCAGGTAACTAGTGATAGGACGAGAGGAAATGGCCTCAAGTTGTGCCGGGGAGGCTTAGATTGGACATACGAAAAATGTCTTTACTGAAAGAGTGGTCAAGCATTGGAACAGACCGCCCATTGAGTCACCATCCCTGGAAGTATTTGAAAGACGTGTAGATGAGGCACTTAGGGACATGGTTTAGTGGGCATGGTGGTGTTGGGTTGATGCTTGGACTCGATCTTAGAGGTCTTTTCCAACCTTAATGATTCTATGATTCTGCAATCTATGCAATCTATGATTGCTTTAAGAATACTGGAGTCAATTTTCATTACTTGCTTTTTCTATTTGAAGCTGAGAATTTCTATTGCAAGTTGAACATCTGCAGTAAGTTGCCACGTGTTGTAGTAAAGAAGCATAAATACTTGACATTTTATTTTTAAATGAAGGGGACTCCAATATTAATTATTGATCAAGTAGGAAAAAAACTTAAAGCTATTCTTAAATGAACACACTGGCTTTGTTGATTTAACCTAAAGATTTGAAGTCACTGGAGGATGCAGCAGTTCTCTAGTCAGCTGCAGAACATTTAATTATGCTTCACACACTGTAGCAGATTGATATAATGATGCTAAAAAAGACTATTCATTCTTCTAAAGTGTCTGTGTCAACTTGAAATCATATTCCCAAAACTCAGTTTGTTTTCCTGATTGTGAGGAAGATTAATGTTTCTTAAAATATTTTATGGCTGCTTTGTGAAACAAACTGACAGAACGAAATGATTGACATACAAAAAGAAAATGTCACAAAACATGAAACTTCATCCGAAACAAAATTGAGATAGTCATGAAACTTGTGCTGAATTTATAACCAGGAGAGTTTGGTGCTTTAACATACAGTTATGGAAAAAACAAATGGGCAATAGGGAAGGACGGTAGTTGTAAAAGCAGGATTTCTTAATTAGGAGAACAACTTTGACTTGTAATTTTTATAGTACAAATTGTGAGAGGTCCTCAAAGACTGTTAAAAACAAAGAAAGAAAGAAAAAAAAAATCTATGAAGTCAAAATGTGTCTGCTTTCCTTAGAAACCACAGCAAAACATGCAGTTAGAAAATAGCTTACGTAGCTTCTGAAACTTGGTACCAGCTGGCAGACAGTTGTGTAAAAGTGTGAGATCATCTTCCAAACCACCCAGCAGCAATTCATAAAATAATCTTAACATGAAAGAATGTTGGCCTGTGTTTCCAGAAGCATTATTTCTCTCACTGTAAAGAAGTCATGGATAATTACTGTGCAATGTCCTCTTGTCCCAGTTTGATAATAGCTGTATGGCTCGATTCCTTTTTCCGTATTTCTGGTGTCGATATGCTGAAAGAGCAGTAACTTGGCAAAAGCTACAGTAATATTCTGTTAAATCTGCTCTGTAGGCCAGTCAAAACCATTATTTGTGGTAGGATCTCTAATAAAGGCTGGCAGCTGTTAAATGTGTGGGTATCCTGGAGTTAACGCTGCACCCCTCCCTGCCTGCTGCTGTGGAGGGAGTATTGAATTTCCTTACCATAGTTGATAATGTTCCACTACTCTGGTATTCAGTGTACTTCAGCTGAAGCAGGGCATTTTTGGCTCAAAGCATGCTTGGTCTTTCCAAGACTAGTGGTCAGACATTTTAAAAATCAAAATTTTAAAATTTTTTTTTTTAAAATAAAAAAGAAGCCTTGCCTTTATCTCTGCCTTTACAAAGTACAGCTATTAAGACTTCTGTTTCTCTGTTCTTCCACTCTGTTCTTAATGGCTCAAGTTTCTCTTCCTCTAATTTATACTTCCAATATACTGTTTAATTAGTACATTCCTTCTAGCTTAAGGCTCTTTGTCTTCATAATGCTTTAATATTGCTATACTTTACACTTCATTTTGTGAAGTGTCAATTGTGCATCACTGGCCTCAGTCGTATCATCTGATTTTTGTTGCTCATGACAATACCAAGTTTCTCCTGTGTATTAACTTGCTAATTAGCTGCCTTACTTCTAACATCTTGCTGAGTATGGGGTGCGTGGAAGGTACACTCTTCTTTCTATAGACTACAGTGATTTAGACAAGTACTATAGCAAGCTATAGGATTACCTACATGATGAGAGTTTGGGACCAGATAACAAATTCCTGGCATGTTTCCCAAATAACTTCATGAAGATACAGCTTAAGCCAGTTCAAAAATTGTATCTAATGTTCAGCAGACAACTGAGGATTACTAGGGAGAAATGCACTTTGAACTACCCTGGCAGAAAAGAGAAGAATTTACAGCTGCCAGCATACCATAAGCCATGCTTTTATTTCTGCTTGAGCTTAGTACACTATGTAATGGATTCACATTTCATCCAGGATGCATTCACTTTTCTGCATTCAGATTTAGCAGCCAGACCAGGTCTCAAGGGGGCAGGTAACCAGATCAAACAACACAACCACCACACCCTTGGACTGGGTTTTTAACTTTCCTTTAATGATAAGACAAAACCTGTGGAGGGGGAGCACAGTACAGAATAGCAGCAGTTCTGCATACCCAATACCGAAGAAGCACCTGTACAACTCAGTGGGGTTTGTTACAGTCATATACCCAAACTAGGGGTGGCTCTATTTATGCTGTTACGGCAACTCTTATTTTCCATATGCTTTAAATTATATGGCATCTACACAAGGTTAATTCTCTTGCCAGAAAGGGCTCTTGTTTCTTCAACTTGATAACCTGGTGTTTATCAAGGCTCACACTTTGAGACATGCAAGCACCTGAAAAGCATTAGCTACTGGAATGGTACAGCTCATTTGCTTAAGATGCAGTAAGAGATACCATCTCTTGAAGGAGTATTACTGATACTTTCCCTGGTGTGGTTCAGGATAGCCCTAATATGGTCCTTCATCATGTACACATTCTTTAGAACTCCTCTAGTTCCCAGAATCCCTGCAAACTTGTGTTACATAATGGTAAGATACACCAAAATATCAGTACCTTTCGAATTACCTGTTACTAGCATCTCTACAAGTACCTAACTGCAGCAATATTGATGGTAGTATCAAACCTGTTTACTTAAATCGGTCCTTTTTTTTTTTTCAGCTTACATTCCTTCCACCTCAGTTCCATAGCTCTTTCAAGATCTGTTCTATCTTCTGACTTTCTGCTGAACACTAAAAGTACTATGTAGTTGTAGCCTTGCCAGAAGGAATTAGGTAAAATGCTGTGAAGCATTTTGGTGAGAGAAAAGTGTTCTGGACAGATAGTAAGTTTATTCATACATCCACCATCTGGTCTTCTGCATTTCTGGAACTGAGTATAATTATGCACTGAAAAAAAGGATCCTTAAAACTGGCTGCTTTAAATAGGTTCACTCTCATTTTCAGATGGCTTTTGTCTTTCTTTTTGCTACCAAGTTCTTCAAGAAGAATTCACCTAGTTAAAAGGCAAAAAAAGCACCAAAATGATTTGTAGATATTTCAGTGAAATAAAGCAGAACAAGACACATTCTCATTTAATGCGAGTATTCTATCCTACAATTGTTCTTACCAGTATTCTATAATAATTCAATTCTATACAACAGCACTTTCAATACATACAGCAGGCACATTAAAAAAAAAAAACAACAAAACAACACAACAAAACCCCAACAAAATCCATAACCCAACAAACAACCCTTCCACCCCCAAAATCCTGATTTTCCTCATGTCCTATTTTATGAAATAGCTCTCCTTCTTTGTGCTTTCCAACAGGCAAAGGTGAAGTGATTTAGTTAAAAATTAATTCCTATTTCATAAAGTATCAGCAACTTGTAGTGAAACCTGCTATAAGTCTTGTTTAAGCTGGCATTAAAACAGTCTGAGATGCAAGGTGCCCCAGATGAGTCTTCTCTGCTCCCTCCTTAGGAAAAAGCAGGATGTTGGACCTACACATCAGTTCTGTTAAAATCAGCTGCTACTTAATACCCAGTGCTTTGTCAGAAAAACCACTGCCATAAATGTGTCTAATTATTTCTAGGGCACTGTAAATAAATGCTGCCTAAAGCAACAAAATTACATCACACAGAACAAAGGGTCCCATTAAACCCTGAAGTGTCCAAGAAGCAGAATGTAAAGGAAAGCTTGCAAATTGGGTACCCTTTATCCTGCCTCACGCATTAAATATAGTACAAACTAGGTTTGGCAAAAAATTAGCTTAAGCAGCACAGCAATTGTACAAATACCAATTACTGTCATACTGATGCATTTAGATGACCTATAGAAGATAATACGTGTAAATAATATAAAAAAAAAAAAAGATGACTATATGAGGTGTCCTTGAGCTAAAGTGAGCTTTGTTGCATATTACTTCACCATTTTAACTTTATATAATAAAATGTTACGTGCTAAAGAATTCAATGCTTTTCAGTAATTTACCTGCTTTATAGGAGGAGCGCACTAAAGGCCCGCTAGCAGTGTAATGGAATCCAAGATCATTTCCTACTTTTTCCCAGTACTTAAATTTTTCGGGAGTTACGTACTCCTCAACCTGAGTGAAAAGAATTAATTTTGACCTGGTATTAATGCAAAGAAAATGGCTATAGCTAGCATGTAGTGACATGAAACAGTCACATTGCAAGTTCAAAACTTTACACTCCAAAACTTTCAGCAGTCAAGTCACAAACTGAATTTTCTCTCTGCTTTCTACCAAAGAATGCATTTTATTTGCTTTTTGTATTGAGCTGAAAAGTTTGGAATTTCTAGTTGTTGCTTTATCATTTTCTTCACTGTTTTTGAATGGTCCTTTCGAGCAAACCTTTTTTTGTCCAAGTTAGGAAAAAAAGTACAATAGTCCTACAAATCTCTTCCCTAACAGTTATTTCAGTGACACACAGTCGCTGTGTGACTCAAGCTCTGGACAGATTACAGAACCAGAAAATAGTAATTCCCCCAGCTGAAGTGGCACCATGAAGGGAGAGCCTACGAGATGGTGAGGGGGAGCTGGCTTGAGCCATTATGTTTGAGACATACACTGAAACTCTTGTTTTCCAGAATCATGCCTCAGCTCCAGCTGTCTCCCCAGCTAATAGCAGCAAGTAGCAATGGGAAGGCTGCAGAAGATGGAAGGGATTAGATAGCTGAGGTAATTTTTAGTGAAGAGTCGGTAACAGATGAAGGTCAGGTTAAACAAGGAAGAAAACAAGTTTTTCCCAATATCCACAGTTAAGGTAAGGATGCATACCATGCCTCCATTTAGAAAGAGGCAACTTGACTGTGCAAGGTACAGACCATAACGCTGCCTGTAAATTAAAGGTATTTTTACCTTTAGGTGACGTTTTGTTGGTTGCATGTACTGTCCTAGGGTCAAACAATCTACATCTGCTTCCCGCAATACTGTAAAAACAAAATTCCCTGTTAGTGGCAGAAGGATCACATGGGATTGTCAGCAATTAGAAAACACCCTCCGTCCAAGTCTGAACAGAGGTCACTCCGCAGCACCCTGCGGGGGTTACATTCTGCTCTCCAGCAAAGGGAACTCGCAACCTCCATGAGCAGTAGCCACGTACCTCATTCTGAGCTCCATGCTGCTGCAAGACCTGAGCTATCTCAATTAAAGCTAGAGAGAATACCATTGCGCTGCACTCACTGCAGTCACGTGTCTCACTGCAGAGATGACATGCTCTTGTCTTTTTTATCTTACAGCTTTTCATTGTGTCTTTAGGTCAGAGCCTTCATTTGACAAAAAAATGGATGTATGCACATACACTTGGCACCTCTCCACTGTTTCAAGTGTCTTCATGCTGAAAAGATGCGGACAGTTCTAAAGAGCTATAAATCCAGGGGAAATTGCCAACATCTTTTGCCAGTTTTACACACTTGAAGGATATATGTTAGTTTTGATGCCTGCAGAATCTCATAAACTTTGTCTGCTAAAATTTGAGTCTATACTAGAACCAATATACAGCAAATGAGTTCAGGCAGTCTACTTACAGAGGGAAATCCAGACATCTGACAGTCAGCTCGCCTGAAGAATTATGTTCACTGCAACTAGCGGGGTATTCCAAACAAAAGGATGGCTGAGGAATCAGCTTAATATCTCCATGTATTTTCTGGCTACTTGGGCTGGTTGCCCCCAAGTCAAATAGAAAGAAAAGACTGTGTTTTGATTACAACATTATACTTACTGTTACCCTGGACTCTCTGTTCAGATTGATATGGTTCTATAAAGAAACTGGTTTGATACCAGCACATTTACACGTTCTTTAACTCCTACCCACATAAGGGAAGGAGAACAAAATTAGAGTAACTGAATGAATGTGGTGGGTAAGAGTTTGTCTCCGAATATGTCCATGAAAGTGGCCTGAAAGCAAATAGCACCAAATCTGAACTTTCACAGTCTTGTGGCTAGGAAATGCCAGGCAGGAAGAATGGGAAAATCAGGAACTGTAATTTTATGGTCCAGATTGTGGGATAGCTGCAGAAAAACTAGACTATATCACTGCATTCTAAATACGGGTTGTTGTACACAAAATAAAGTACCAGGTAGACGTTCTTTCCGGATATGGGAGAAATGCCATAGGATTTATGAATTTCTTCCTACAAGCGCATTGGTAAGTGAAATTTTCTCCTCTTAAAAATACATTTATATGAAAACATAAGAACATGCTACAACTCCAAAGACAGTAACAACTTTTTTTATGTTTAAGTAAGCTGAAATAAATCACTGTAAACAATAAGGTCTGCTATTTCTAAAAAGGAATGTGCAATAAGGCAACTATATTGCAAGTATTATTTAAGTATTGCAAAGATAAGAATATTAATATAGTCACACAAAGATAGTTGTAACTCCCATTGAAATCAACAGGAGCCGGATCTGCCTGTCAAATGGAATCTTAAACCCAATGAAGGCAAAATATTTCCGAAGTTCCATCTTTTTTAACCAAACTTTTTTTTTTCCATAAAGCTTAGCAATCATTTCCTGCACCAGCAAACTGATTTGCATGTAGAGGCAAAGCAGCTTACAACCGTTTTCCAACACAATTCAAATTCATACCTGTGAATTTTGGCTTATGTTTCCATACCAACTTACATTTCATTGTTGAATATACTTGTTCATCCGTCTCGCCTAGCCCCAACATAATGGAGGTTTTAGAAATGACACCGGGCTGGACCTCTTTAGCGTGCTTCAGCACACGTATGGATTGCTCAAAGTTGGCTCGGGGGTCACGGACCTTCCTTTTCATATTTTCAGCACAAGGGGAAAAAACACATGAAAGGGTGCACAGAAGTTAGAGATGCCAAGAAAGGTGCGTTCTGTGAGTTTCCACAAAGTGAAAATGACAACTTAGAGGTTCTACCCGTTCAGTTTGACACCGGGAAACGCCCCGAAGCGTCACAAGCGATGGGACGCGCCCCAGTTTCGTGCTGATTTGAGTACCAAAGCCGGGCTCCTCGGACCCGCGGCC